AGAGATCATTAGTCTTGAAATCCCATCCACTTCTATGTGCATGCCCCTTCACGAAGAGCAGTTTTGAGAGTACCTGTCATGAGTTGCTCATATATCACATGGTTGGCCTGGCCATTGCATAACAATCGGATAATGTTTGAGCTTATACGCTCCTTTATGTTCCATCACATTATATTCTGTCATTCTGTCATTACCAAGCCACAATAAGGGCAGTTCTGTTTTATCACTACACAGTTCAAAAATATATTTCCATAAATGATGTATGGATGAGTCTGGACGTTTTTTGCAAACAAGGCAGCATTAAAATACTGCTGACGGATAAGGTTTCACATCGCAGGACAACATGTTTCCATACCGAATGGCTAAGCAGTCTCTTTAGTGTGCTGACAATGGTAATTTCTATCGGTCTCTTTGGGCCACACTGCAATAGCCACGTAATCAAAATAAGGGTGATTACGTTTAAAGCATTTACAGTATACACGGTAAACATTTATGCTGTGCCCATTATCAGTGTCATTGTAATGGTTGTCAAAAAATATCCGAATTTTCATCACAATTATTATTGCCATTGTGATGACGGTTGTTATTTTCACTGTAACTGCAGTATGATTGTATTTTTTAAATATCGCCAATTTGAAGACTGTTTCATACGAAGATTATTTTGTTTTAACACTGCAATCATAAATAGGTCTCACCTTTAGCCCTTCTTAGATGATTCAACATGAGGCATGGATAAATTAATCAAACGGTCAATTCGTTTATTGATGAATAGCGATTTTCATGTTTATGGTCAATGCGTCAAATCATGCATTTGAGAACTCATTATTTATGTTGTGAAAATGATATCCACATCATATGTTTAAGTTATATTGATGCCAATGGAGTGAATAAACTGTAAAGAAGTGACAATGAGAAACAATTAAAAGGAGCAAATAAAGAACGGATTATTGTTGTGACTCAGAATGATAACAATTCTCCAGCTAGCTAGGCGAGAGGGGGTTATGTTGCATGTTGCTAATTATTATCTGTACCAACCGCTTAATGTTCCACCAAAACACTGACATTAAGCAGTTTTGTTGTGCGAAGTGCAGTTTTACAACTTTTATTTGAGCCTCAAACAAAACTTGTACGCAGAATAAGATAAAACAAACATACGTAAATGGATCTGTTGTGTTTGTCACAATAAACCACTGCTTAAAGCAGTAGTACAGTGCACACACAAAAAATGCCTTCCCCAAGATGTGGAATCCGGTGGTCACTTCCTCACCAATTTTCAGAGAATGCAGCTTTGATTCAACGACAAATGAAAATATTCGCGGACACGTATGCACGTAATCATTTGATGTCAAGGTGAATCGACTGAACTGCAGCGTAAATTAATGCTTTTATCCGTTGGCCACGGATGGAGCTTGCAAATGGCCAGTGGCATGAATAATAGATTTACCTTCACATGAACTAATCATTACATTGCCTGTTGAGCGATTTTAAAAGCAAAGCCCCCGGTCGCACGCATGTTGCTCGTAATATGCACAGAAACATGTAACATGTGACCCTCTAGCAGCCTAATGAAAGCTTTCCCTTCATTTCATTTTGCAAATAGCAATCCATATGTGGGGTGGGCTGTGGAATTGAATCGTAATAACTGTTACTTTAATCCGCTATCCACGTTACAACGCAGCCACTTAGGACGGCATTGTACTATTGCTTGCTGTGTTTCGTTTGTTGCCCTTACCCCGCACACCGTTGATTAGCACGGTGCAAAAGACGCCCAACATACATGTGTAGTGACTAACTCGGAGACGTTAAGACTTGGAGGCACTTCTTTTATTTAACGAACACCATCGGTTTAAAGCTTTCGTGACTGCAAGGATTCATCTTCTTTGGTTCTTTCGGTAAAGTCACGTAGAATGAGAATAAATTAATAAATTAATAGAATAAAATAACACAATAAAATTCTCACGACGTTTCGGATTAATTATCAGTGAATTTTCTAATATATTTGTATTAGCTTGATTTAGCTTCATATCTATTGATCATATCCAATGACTAAAATTACGATTAATGCAGATTAAATCTCCTTATCTCTGACAGGATGATGAGCCTTATTACTATTTGGATTTGGGAGGCGTTGGACACTTGAGCTGTGAGATGGGCAGGAGATGATAGCAAACCAATGCATTCTAGAACCATTTTGCAGGGGGCTTTGAGAGTTCCCCAGTCAAATGTGGGTTTTCAAGAGACTCTTAAGCCTTCTAACCACTTGCAAAACCATGGAATCAGCCCAACATTGCATTGCTGTAGCCTCTTAAAAGTAGCCCTGAGACTCAGTGAGGCTCTTCTGGGTAAATAAATGGCATTATTATGCTTAAAGGATGTGAAAAGCTATGGCTTTTGGAATGTGTAAATAAAGCTAGTGTACTTTACAATGTGTACCGTATATGTATTCCTCACTATAATAATCTGCATGGTAATTTCATAGGTATTTGTTCAACAATGATTATGATGTTAACTACACGTTGTCTGGTGGACTGTTAAAGACAGAATGGGCAACCCTTCGATGTAGCACGGAGCCACGTCGATGTGTGGACCAATATATATACAACTTTACAGGGTATCTCACATACCATTCCTGGTGCCCCACGACACTACAGGTTTATGTTTTTAGAAGTAACCAAATGTGGGTGGTGGGTAATGACGTATTTTAATATGAAAAGGGAAAACTGCTCAAGGGAAAATCATGGCGAGGCATGAGAAACACCGTTGGAGGAACTCTGAACTGAAAACATTATTGCCTTTTTCGAATTGTTTTTGTTTTAATTACCCATGAACACCAAAAAAGACTACCTATAAATCCTCATCTGAAAGCAGTACCGAACAGCTAACAGTGACTCGTGATATCTGAACCGGTCATGGGTTCTTCACCAACCGGTACTGGTTTAACAACAACAACAATGTGACTGACGTAATGTGGAGAGTTCGTCATCCAACATTGGATTTGGATTATTATTGTTGGGCTATAATTTATGGTTAATTTAGATTTAATTCCAAACCGTAAAGGTTTCTTTCTCATATTTATGATTCCTTAATGCTCTGACTGCTGTTCTTAGCTCTTTCGGTAAAGTCACGTTGAAGGGAAACAATAAAATAATAAGATATATATAAAACAATAAAAAAATTCTCACGACGTTTCGACCATAACGCAAACGGTCATCATCAGGTGTAACCATAACGCAAACGGTCATCATCACACCTGATGATGACCGTTTGCGTTATGGTCGAAACGTCGTGAGATTTTTTTTATTGTTTTTATAGATATATTTTATTACTTTATTGTTCCCCTTCAACATGACTTTACCGAAAGAGCTAAGAATATGAATTACTGCAGTCACGAAAGCTTTAAATCAAAGCTCTGACTGCTGTTCAGGATGAATGCACACCAAATATATCTGGTCTACAAATGTATACGAGAGCTGGTATAAATTGGCTGTTCCAGCAACATTGTGATAATAATTTTTTTTATTAAAATAAGCTCATGAACACCGTTCAGAACATGCTAATTAGTCTGTAAGTGGCAGTAAAAATATAGAGCAAATTAAACTTTCTTTTAAGACACTAACTAATAACATAGCCCATGCAACAGAATGTATGGAACACTGCATGCCATGCGACATTGGGCATGTACTGTATGCACCGCAGGCGCAATCAAAATATAAATGACTGTTGCTTTATTTTAGTTGAATGCTAGAACACTGAGTGGGTGGCATCCAAAATATGTATATTCATGAAATATCAAAAAAAATGTAAAATGCTGATATAGTATAACATCAATATAAAATGATTACAATCATGAGTGGAAAAACAAATATTTAACTTTAATGCCGTATATGATATTTTTATATATAAATACAAACTGGTGAGACAATATTCCAAAAGATTATTAATTAATGTGTATATCATATTGATAGAGCCAATTGAAAGGCACCATGTTCATTATTCAACACATGGGAAATGTTTTAGTTTAAATTGCTGTGCACATGTGCAGTTTTCCCACTCCAAATTGCTATAATAACCTACTTTAAAAATGCATTTGCACTGCGTGTATTATAACCGTGGGTAATTGCAATGTTTTACACAATGTGTTCCTTATCTAATTCTAAACTAACAACAGTAGAGTAGTCAAATCATTTACGTAATTAACACCATCATTCATGATCAGTCCACTGCTGGACGAGTGCCTCCCCATGCCTCTATCAGCGCAACACAAGGTGTTCGTACTAACGACACCACTGTTTTCAGATGTCATACAGCACCGATCTTAGTTCAGGAGTTAAATGCCGATGTTGAGGTCTGCGTGGGAGATAATAGCCCTCTCGCAGCCCACCTGTTAGGTTTGTTTCGTGTTACCTTAAACACAACGAATACCCTCATCTCGGCCCAATGGGCATCTTTCATTTCAATTCTTGTAACACGACGAATGGGAGAAAAAAAACTAAATTAATATAAACGCCACATTGATTGCAGCGTGATGTTGATCAAGGCTTAAACATAAAGCAGCGGTGAACTGGATCCAAGCTGTTTTAAGTTGTCATCAGAGACAATGTGAAAAAAATAACAATCCCAAGCCGTTAATTGGTAAAGGGTTGAGAAAATTAGGCATTTGTGGGTTGTAAACAAAGTATACTTTTATTCTGTATAGGAAACTCCAATTTTTGTTTTATGAAGAGGCTTTGAATTTACACGGTCCTGGTTAATGAAGCACCCAGATGTATCCATGGAGTAACATGTCCAAAAGAAAAATATGTCAAGTTAAATTGAATTAAGTTAATATTTGAAAAAGAAAAAAATATGCAATACATGATGTGCATCGAAGTAATGTATAGTTTATTTACTTATCACATTGTAAATACTTTTCTGAGCTTACATAGACCGGTTCCTACATTACATTGTGCATGCTAACCCATGCTTTCCAGATCTCATGGTCACTATAAAATTTTTTTTTAATGATTTAAGTAAACTGCAATCCTTTGCAATCTTCATTGTTTCTCAAGCTAGGCCATTGTTTAAAATGTCATATTTTTTTAGTGTATTTATATATCGGTGTTTGTATAAGAAATACATTCAAACTGTGCAGTGTATCATTAGAAGCAAAAACGATCAATGGTTAGAATGACACTAATCCTATACGAGAGAGAAGCAATGGCTGTTGTTACATTTCCTCTACTCTGCAACTACACGCTCAAAATAACTGGAAAACAATATTACACAGAGTTCAGCTAAAACCACTTAGTTAATGCATTGAAATTCTGCTACAGAAACGACAATGCAACCTTGACATCAAAGCAGTAACGGCTAAACTCTTCGTCAAAACATTACATAGATCGATTGGTGCAGATAGAGTGCGTGTGTATGGCAATGTCGATTACATTTAAACATTACATACCATTTATAGTCACTTCATTGTAAATGTCTAGAAGATGGAAAAGGGTACAGCTGCAAACCTTGTGAATATCTTGTTCATATCTTGATTACCATAATTTTAAGTGGACTGAGATGTTTGGGGAGATATTTTAAAAGGCTGACCAGCATGTTTTAAAATAAAAATAGACGTACCCCCAAGCCTTGCCAGCTACTATGGATGGGACATAAGTAGGTTATAGTTTATACAATTAAATATAAGGAGTAATATTGCTATGCCCTCGAAATATAACTGCATTAACAGTCCTGGGTTAATGTAAATCCTACTGAGTTGTGATCAGCAACGCGAATACAGTTTTGGGCGAGTAAAGCAGGTGGTCAATTTTATGAGTACGCATTCAATTCCTTTCCCTCCGTTAGACTGTCACCGCACAATTATCTGACAAGAAATAAAAACAATTCTGGTAATTGGGATGGTTTATTTTAGAATGAATGTGATCGTAGATCCCCTGTCAGTTTCATTACACAAATTAAAGGCTATCTGTTTAATTCATTTGCATTCTACACGAGCGTATACAAAGGGAGACTTTTCACTTCAACTGATTTATGTGATCAACCAATGATGTTAATGTAGCAGAAGGGTGGGAACTTCAGACGCGGAATGATTACTATCCTCCTAGGGCCCTAAGCGAAAACTGGGGCCCTAACTTTAGGTACCCTTCCTTGTCTCGGGGTCTATCGTCCACGAGTATCGCCCCATAGGGGTCAGCTTACAATAGTTATTGAGGCAATCGGGCTCTTCAACCTGTCTCGCTGGGGCATTAGTCCAGCCTTGGCCTGATCACCACATGCTGCTGTAAATTTCTGGAGAAATTTAAATGATATATTTTTAAAATATCACCTAATTGGATACGGTAAAAAGCAAAACAAAGTAAATTTTGATTTAAAGCTTTCGTGACTGCAGTAATTCATATTCTTAGCTCTTTCGGTAAAGTCACGTTGTTTTATATATATTTTATTATTTTATTGTTTCCCTTCAACGTGACTTTACCGAAAGAGCTAAGAATACAAAACAAAGTAGACAATTTTGGATTCATAACAATGGAATTTACTTCTCAGTATGGTGTCATCAATTTTATTGGCTATAGACCAGTGAAGAAGCCCCCCAGAATAGTTGTTTCCCATGGGCTCAAAACTTTGGTGATTACCATTCTGTTCTATTACAACGAATGCATCATTGTCTCTGCAACCTCCTATAGGCTCCTTGTTTTTAAAACGGTGAAGAGTAGAACAAAAAGGAATAGAAAACATCGGCAATGAATTCCGCCCTGAATGCAAATATTGACTCTAGCTAGAACAACTTTTGAAAAGAAAAAAAATCCATTATGTTTCAGTATTATTCTGCTATTATAAGCTGTTATTTATCAAGGGAATTGCCAGGATATGGTCTTGTTCTGTTGAATTTATGATCACATGCTATGTTTAGAATGACAGGAAACTCGAACTGTGTTATATTATGCTGCATATGATGGTAATTCATGTGGAATTATTTCAAGTGTTTGTCTCATTTTAGTTTCAGAATTTTCCACGTAAAAGCACAAATACATGGTATCCATAAAGAAAGCGTTCCTTATTAAATAATTGTAGAGTAATTAGAGGGCGGTTTAAGCTAGATCAATACAACTATGCGTGCGGGAGTTTGAAGATTGTATCGCGTGAGATGCATTCCTCTCGACCTCCAGATGTCCGCCATGCCCTTGGCGACACACGTCGTATCAAGAGATGAAAGACTCTCAAATATTCACCATCATCGACGGTACGATGCTATCAAATACGATACAATTTACATTTATATGGCATCTAAATGTAACTGCATCAAACACACACTGTACATGGATAGTGTAGAATGACATAGGCAAGAGGGAAACAAGCGGAAAAGTCTCAAGCCTGGACTTGCTTCTGTTATGTTCCATTCAAGATTTAGCAAGCCTTTCGGTTTAACAATGCAAGTGTATATGTTCCTAACATTTCAACCATGCAGTTCAAACTCATGTCTAATTGTAATTCTTAAAATAATGTATGATACCCTTATGGATACCCTATATATCATACAATGTACACATACCATTTCATTCCTGTGTTTGACTTTAGCTCACATCGTTTTGTTCGAGTGCATCATATACAATGGATCAATGAAAAAAACAACTATTTGACCACTTGCTGAGTGCTTACACACACAAAATAACTGTGGCTGTGTTGGGGCAATTATTTGTTGTTGTAAACATGAGATGCCCGAGTATATCAAGGATGCTGTCATAAAAAAAATAGCAGCTATAGAAGGGCTATCCAAGCAGGGATGATGGATGTGGTTGTTCAGGCTGAGATATATAGTGCACTACTGCATAGGTCGACACTAACTCTCCATAATCGAGTGGCGTTCCAGGGTTTGCTTGCTGACACTTCAGCTCATGCAGCCCATGCTTATTTCTGTGCCTGTGCAATGTCCAGCTGTTCCCATCCATACCCATCACATTATAACAGTGCCGTCCACTGTTAATGAACGCGCACTTGTATTTGACAATATCGCGTAAGAGTTCACCATTTCTTTTCTCAGTGCGGTCATACAATCGTCACGTGCGCCTTTGATTTTCATTGTTTTTGTTTTATTGACCATGAATAATTTAGTAAGAAGTGCAGTAGTCATGCAAAAATACGTTTGAAAATAACATCTGACTATGCAGGGGGTTTTTTGTTTCAACATCAAAGTAAGTTTTCGTCACACATCTGATACAATCGCCTGCCATGTCATATTTAAATCAATTATTGTAAGCCCCCATTTGTGACCGTAATGGTGTATGTGATCACACTTTAATAAGCAACCAAACACAACAGTGGCATTCATTTGAATATTGTGTGAAGGAATATTAGACAATTCAATGCATATAATGAAGTATTGGCAAAATATATGAAACTCAGCTGTTTGTTGATAAAGTAATTCAATAATTACAATTAGTTTTAATATACTAAATAATGTTAGACGCAGTCATTCATTTGTACAAGTGTAAAGCTAAACATAGTAATAATAACAAGAACAATATAAGCAACGTTCTGAAAATTAACATTTGAAATAAGTTACTTTCAGACTGCAATATTTTTGAAAAAGGTGACTTTCAGGCTGCAATAAATCAAAATTGAAATTCTAATATTAAGTAAAAAAAAACCTCAACTTTTCCGATGAAAATGTTTCCATCTGACACGATAATAAAACTATACCAGCATAACAGCACGGGGATAATGTTGTTTCACACATTCGTGATGGTCTCCAACTGAGACTGTACTCTAACTTGGAAAACAACCGCTGGTCCCACACTGGCATTTGAAGTTATCTCCAACAAGTATGGCCACTTAAACTCATTCTCTTTTCACCACCACAGCGGCATATTTATTTTGGAAAACTGGCAGCAAGTCAACCAGATAATTAAAATATGAAGCAGATCTTGCAGAACCTATGACAACAAACTGCATGGTAATCAGTTTCGGATTATCAAAAGCGTTAATTGCATGTTGACATTGAGCTGATCTCTTCAAAGGCCATAATAGTGGCCAAGCCTCAAACATCCCACACTGTGCAAACTAGTGCGAGGCCAAGATAAACCCATCTGGCTCTAGTGAGCCCCATTCGCTCTGGCCCAGTTACTCGGAGTGGGCAGCTGGGCAAGGGCCTGTGTGGATCAGGATTAAAGAGAAATTAAATCCAGCTCTGGGTATTAGTTTTCTGCCTAAAATAAAGGCCGCTAGAGTATGGTTATACTGTGCGCATATTATGCTAGATACAGGCCTGACATCACACATGAGAAGGGTTATTGCACTTTACATTAAACTTCATAAAACAACTAACGATATTATACATCTCACCGAGAAACTAACTTCTAATTTGTGACACTTTATATTTACACGTTACATGCCACACATTGGCTGGAGCAACTGTTTACACCCTGCAAATGCATTCAGGCTCTAAGTAACATTTCTGTTCACTATTGAGCATACTACAGTCTAATACTCTTAATTTAACTAAATTAAAAGCTGAAGAAACTCAACATTTATATATAAGTCAGCTTTCCAACTGTGGAAAATGCACTGTGTGCCACAACTCACCAACCTTGCCAATTCCCCATGAAAACTCAACGCATTCGGCAGTATTGCCCATGTCTGCGTTAATAAACGGTGATAAATGAAAGCCACTTATTAAATTACATACTGTTGCAGAATGTCGTCCACTTCACAAAGAGATTGCAAGTCGCCTTGATAATTGGTTTATATGAACCTTATGGCGGTACCCCGGGGTACCATAGTACCCCGGCTCTCGCATAATGTCCGTGATGCAGTCATTTTTAGTCTGTTGATGGTCGGTGATGCGGCAATCGACTCATCTCGACGAGCTGTGCACTATGCGCCACTACGGTGCATACGAGCGTTCAGGATTTCAGCGCAATCGTCATCGCTGTTTCGAAATCGCTCAGTAGCACTGATTTCGGATTGATTGGTATCCCAGTCGTGGAGTTAAGTACACCCCTGGCAAAAAAAGTGTACCAGAAATAAAATATTTTATTGCCTCGGCCATTTTGTATTATTTGGTATCCTGGGGTACCACCATAAGGATCATATACAGAATATATCTTGTAAATCTGATCATTTTGACATTTTACTATAGTACTGCTATTTTGAAATTTTATTTACTTGTACAACATTGCATGTAGGGATGCATATATAGTCATGTTTATTAACAATTACAGGTGGTACAAAAACGGCAAAATCAGTGCCAGATCACCAATCCCACTGAATCTGAAGCCTATAAAACTTTGCGGATTTGCTTGTGGCCCCCGCATATCCCTCTTGTGATGTTTTATCACATAACACAGCCAATCCATTACAATAGTAGGCATTGGAGGATAATCTTGTTTGGGCTGCAATAGATTTGGCTGTACATTTTTTGGAAAATATAGTTTTTTGGGCCAAAATATAAAAAAACACACGCAAAAAAAGAATGCCAGTGTGTATTTATAATTGACCTACTATGTTGAGATATTTCATCCTACTAGAGCTAATATTAAGGACAAATAACAAATACCACATCACTCCACGATCTCAAGGGATCTGGTGACAATATTTCGCATGAACACAACACACATCCCACGTCACTCCCTAACTCTGATTCAAAATCATACCAATGGAAACGATCATATACAGTAAGACAGAATTCCAGTTAACACGTAGGTGTTTATTAGCTAAAGTATCATACAAATTGTATTTGATTGTATTTGCGAGTCTTTATTTACTACTTAATTATCATCGTCGCTTCCACTTACATTTCCCTAAGTGCACTTCGCAATCAGCCATGTGATGTAACAATGCATTAATTCATCAATTATGTTAATTCATGATGCAATGATTCATCATTAAAATGCCGTGAGCTGTTATGCTTACGATCCAAAGCTCAAGTTTTTTCATCTGCACGTGGACATGAGACCACATCACCCCAATGCTCAAATCACTGCATTGTTTCCCTCTGAAATCTCAGATGAATTTCAACATCACGCTCGCCCTCCTAAAAATCCGCAATGGCCTCGCCTCTGCCTATATATCTCTTCTCATCTCATTCTACTCCCCTTCACACACTCTCGCTCTAGGCTTCCTGTCGTAAGCCTTCAGGCAACCTTCACTTAGTGGGACGTCAATCATTCTCGTCTGCCGCCTCCATTGTCCGGAAATCAGAATCAGAATCTTTATTTTGACTGGAGGAATACGATGAGCTATGAAGCTCTTTTTCACAGATATCCAGTAGTTTTCACAGATGTCTCTTTGCCCATGCTCCTACCCCTGCCTTTGTCCAGATTCATCCTTGCATTGCCTTATGACTAACTTTCCTCTCGCTCTGAAATAAATACGCCCACTGTTTATGTGCACGCTATATACTCAATGCAAATTGTAATATACTGCAATTTCCTCACGTAAACCCTACAAAGGACTAGAGATTCTACATGCACTACAACGTCGAGACAAACCAATAAATACATTCTGCGATTGAATTGCAGCCCCAAACTGATTGAAAAAGTCATGTGCAGTATCTCAAAACCCCTGGGCTTTCACATTGACAGAAGCCGTGTCATAGTTTTTGATGTCTGCCTCTCAAAAAAATTATACACCACATACTGTGCGTTTTTTCTGTTTACGAGGCCATTTAAATTGCTCAGACAATCTTCATATGCAGTACAGCGATTCAGATTCTATGTTTTATAATTAATTGCCTTATTAGTAATTAATTATTCAGAAACTGGGTTCAGCTGTGCCGAGGCTTAGTGGGCACAGCAGCGGGTTCTTACTCATGAGACGAGGTGCAAATCACACCGGGGTCTGCTCAGCCCAGCGTTCCTCCTGATTCCATACATTTCACAAACATCCAATGAGCATCTCTTGGTGGGACGTCAACAGTGGTTGTCATCTGGTGAGACAACCCCCACCAAAGGACTGAGAAATTTCCACCACCGACTCTGGAACGTTAACAGATGCCCAACGCCTGTTGCAACGTGCCTCGATGCAATGCAGTAATGGATTTGTAATACGCAGAGATTGGCATACAATTTTATTATCCTCAGCACATTAAATTACGTTTATGCATAAATATGAATGAGAATGTTCAACCGTGCATAGAGTGCTCATGCATTTTGAGTCAAAGGTCCTGCCTTAAAATAAGTTGAGCCGCTTCTTTCTTGTGGTGCAGCCAGTCGGAAGATAGCACAATTCTTACCACCACAAGGAATCTGCCCATGGGTTTAATGCAGTAAACCCATTTACTTTCTGGGGTGAGAGCAATTGCACAGGGGTTTGCACAGCGTTTTATAAGCCCAGTGGCCTCCGTTCAATTCCCGGTCAAGGGAAGCGTTAGTGGCGAGTGATATCTGATATCAATAACCCGCATTGATCAGTGTGGTGAAGTATGGTAAAACACTCCTCATGACTGCCATGATATGCAGAGGTCTTCAACTGCCAATGCATCGAAAAGGACTGCAAAATGAATGATTGTAAATTATTACCAATTTACTGCTTGGTATTTGAACACTTGAATAGAGTATGCTGAGATTTTTCAATTGCCTTGACAGGTATAAATTCTGGACCCATGAATTGTGGTCACTATGATAACAATGAAACATTGGCAGCGGTTACAGTTGTGTTGGGGAATATATGTGATATCGATTACCCAGCTTCATGGCTGCACAATTTAAAATGCCTGGTAATGGCATCACAAAGTGTAAAAATATCAATGGCATTTGGAATTTCAGCAAATAGGGCATGTTGTTCGCTAACTTGGGTTCCAAAAGTTAGAGAAGTGCTGCGGCAGATTCTGTATCATTTGTTGTTGTTGATGATGGATGACTTGCGGTATACAACAGTGTGGCTTTTTACTTTGCGTCCACATTATAATGGTCAACAATATGAATCGACTTCATGTGGTTTAAATACAAGCCAGAAATACATGAACAATCCCAGCAACACATTACAGTGAGCAAATTGGTACTTTTTGCCATATATACTCTTCATTGCTGCATATTGACAGACCATGTGAAATCTAACAAAACAGCAGCAGCAGCAAGGCCACTGGAGGCTGCCAGAGGACACAGAGTGTGACTGATTGCTATAGCTCAGCTCCACTGCAGACTTACCATTGCTCTTTCCACCTTTCTCTATTTTCTCTGCTCATTTTCCAAACATAAAACTCCCAGGTCATCGCCTCAATATTTAAATGTAAATTACCCAGTCAAACGTATACGCAAAAAACAGACGAGGCTTTTTTTGCTGTGCAGATACACCAACAAAATCCTAAATCTGGCATTGCCTTGTTTAGCTTTCTCGTGTGTAGGAAAAATGCTGAGAAAGTACGTTCATATTGGAAGGACGCTTGCTTCAACCACCAGGAGAATGTAGGTGGAGGTCAGACCCAGAGGTGCAGCATGGTTGAAATGCGCTCTACTGCGAGGAATTTAATCAGGGTCCCCTGTCTGCCTGCCCCTGCCCTTCTCTTCGCAGCCCGGCCACCAGTGCAGTTGCACTGCCTGCACGCTCGACAAGCCACGCCACCGCTCAGGCCACTCCCTCCCGCCGCTTGCTGAGCCAGACGATGAGCGCCGTGAGAGCAGCAGCGAGCACGGCGGGGCCAGCGACCAGCAGCCCCAGCACAGTGTCCGGAGGGTCGGCCAGCACCGGCTCGTCACGGGAGCAGTTGGAGAAAAAGCGGCGGTGGACGTCCAGGAAGAACGCGTCCACCACCGAGTTGGGCCAGAAGCAGTCGCTCTGCCCTGCCTTCTCCTGCGTGCAGTTGGTCAGCGCGTTGTAGAGGCTGCCCGTGGGTTGTCGTTTGGGTTCGGGGGGGGGGGGGGGGGGGGTGGGTGAAGACACATGACACTGGTTATGGACAGTGCCAGGGCTAGATGGAACATTGCTCAAGGTTCATTCGCGCATGCATTTTATATCCTGCCAACGGTTGTGCTGAGCCTGGAAACGTGTAGAGTTTTAGCACGGTATTCTCCGTTCGCTGTATGTGGCATTTAAATGTTCCCTTCGATTAGCGCGGTTAGCTATACACAGTGCAAAAGAAGCACCAACATAAATACATACAGCACATAATGCATAGCAACTAGCTACGTGGCACTGTGATAAAGCGCTTGGCTGACTGTTGAAAATGATGAATTGTGGGTCACAGAACAACTGAGACAGTCATCAAGTTCAAATTTACTTGTTTAACCAGGGGAGAAGTCAAGAGACCAGGAGAGCCTTATTTACAAGAATCACCTGAGTATCACTTTGAGGGTTTGATTAAAAACAAATTAACGTGTTTTATTGTGGGAAGTGAGCAGTAGTTATCCAGTGACTGGACCACTCCATTTCAATGTCAAATTTCCATTCATCACTCCCTTGGGGTCGCCAAAAGGGGTGAAGGTCATCCAAAGGTCATTTGAGCACAAGGGCCCTTTGACTCTTAAATTATTAAGGCTTCAGAACATTATACTGGAAAGATGTTTCCTATTGTTTACTGCAAAAATTTTCACCACAGTTCAAAACACATTGCTGCAGTATACCAGGCAATGGAATACAGACACAGTAAAGAACAGCCAATCAAGGGGTGATTTTGATATACATCTCCAGCCAATAAAGTAATATGTTATAAGATGTACAAAATAAGATCACAGAAGTATGACCAGAGGATGCAGCTTTGGTTCCAAACCTTGGGATATTGAAAGTATGCTTTTAGGAAATTGTCATTTTTGCCAAGGAACCATCATTCATGATCCAAATGCACCTCTGTGTTACGAGTCATTACTGATTGTTATATTATAAACCTATTTAAGGTAATTTTCTGGAAAATTCTTATTCTCATTTACAGTCATGGCATAAGGTCACATTCCGTTATCGATACGTAAGCATTTAAATAGAGTAAATGGCATACGCTAAGTGAAATCGTGCAGTTACAGGTTATGCTTACAGCAAATTATGATGTTCCGAAAGACAATACGGTAACTTCTGATGACGGAGCTGGCATTTAAAACAGTTCATTCATGCATACATAGATACATTCATGCATTTATCAGTGAATAAAACGGTCTCTATGTCACAGAGAAGCCAAACTCGCATCTGCATCTGTTGGAGTATAACCTTTAACCGGGTGGAGGTGAAATTGTCAAGTTAAATGATAGGATGCTTTAGTTCCACTGTGAATAAAATAAAACACAATTCATGACGATGAAAACTTGACTTAAAGCTTTCGTGACTGCAGGATTGACGATTGCTTGCGTTGCCATTGAAACGTCGTGATATTTTTTTATTATTTTTTCTATCTACGTGGCTTTACCGAAAGACCCAAAGAAGATGAAAACGTGTTTATATGGCATTACAATACTAGGCAATCTATCACGTAATGAAATGTGTTGCATGATTAATACAATTATATTAGAAGCAATTATTTTCATTGTTATTGTAAAATAATAAGGAAAATTATATCTGTGAAAGTCTATTCAACATGTTGTGTACCTGTATTGACAAGATGACATTAAGGAATTTTAATAAATAACAAGGTGCTTCAAAAGAATACTTTTTGGTTATATTCGGTGAAGTCACGTAGGTAAAAAAATAAAACAAAAATCACGACGTTTCGGCCACAACACAAGTGGCCTTCATCAGGTGAAGGGACCAGACTGTCTCGAGGACAGCGCTGGAGTGAACACAGCCAAGCTCAGACCGCGTCCTTTAAGCTGTGTGAGAGGAATTAAGGTGCCTTGACAAAGAAATTAGCATAAAAATTAGCATTTAATTGGCGGACTTAGCATGATGAACGGTGTAGAGGGGGTGAACATGTGCAGGTCGGCGAGGGGGGGAGTTTACATATTGATGGTGTGAAAAGGGAATTTTAAGAGCTGCGAAAGTTTGGGGTACCACTGCTTGTGACTTTACCGAATAGAACCAAAGAGTATGGATCCTTGCAGTCACGAAAGCTTCAAATCTAGAATTGCTTCAAAAGAATGTTAACACTTACATGGGACTGTCGTTTTTTAATGGAAAAAGAACGGATAGTACATTGTAAAATGATAACAAATTTTATTTGAAGCTTTCGTGACAACAGGAATTACTCTTTGGTTCTTTCGGTAAAGTCACGTAGAAATAAAATAAATAATAGAATACGACGTTTCGATTGCAACACAAGCAGCCATCATCAGGTGTGAATGAATGCAAGCTCGGAGAGAGACGCATACACAGAGAGAGACACAGAGAGAGAGAGCGACAAACACACAGAGAGAGACACACAGAGAGAGAGACACACATGGGGGAGAGATACATAGAGAGACATACACGCAGATAAGTTATCTGTGTGTCTCTGTGTGTGTCTCTCTCTGCGTGTCTCTCTCTATGTGTCTCTCCCCCATGTGTGTCTCTCTCTGTGTATGCGTCTCTCTCAGTGTCTGTGTTCTCTCTCTCTCTCTGTATATGTGTCTCTCTCCGAGCTTGCATTCATTCACACCTGATGATGGTTGCTTGTGTTGCAATCGAAACGTCGTATTCTATTATTTCTTTTTTGTCTACGTGACTTTTCCGAAAGAACCAAAGATGATAACAAATGTATGTTAATCGCTTCAAAAAGTCAAAGAGTCTCCACTTAAATTTTGATTTAAAGCTTTCGTGACTGCAGGGATTCATATTCTTGGTTCTTTCGGTAAAGTCACGTTGAAGGGAAACAATAAAATTATAAAATATATGAAACAATAAAATGATATATATTTTATTATTTTATTGTTTCCCTTCAACGTGACTTTACCGAAAGAACCAAGAATATGAGTCTCAACTTGTTCGCCATCATTGTCAACACATGCCTGGAATCTTCTCCAGGTGGTCTCCAGAGTCCAGCTGCGCTTTTCTTGTGGTATTTTTGCACATTCCCAAAAATGTTTAAAAAAATGTAAGCACCCTGTATACACCAATGGGTTACCCTGAACCGTGGGTTTAAAAAACTCATCCGTGTGGGCAGCCTAGACCAGCTGTGCCGCTAACCAGTACACGGCTGGAAATCGGTATAGGCCCTGCTAAACAGACATCAAAAGTATGTTTTAAATTAAATAGACATTGCTGCGTTCATTAAAAAAAAACAGAATCTCTCAGAAAGATTTGTTAGTGCAATGCAGCTGGTTCTTTCTGAAACATTCACTGAATTATAGAGCGGCAGTTATCATTCGGCTGTCCAATGCAGGACACGCTGGAGACGTGCCCAAAATTCCACTCAAAAGTGCATGCTGGGGGAGTGGCAGCGTAGGTAATATAACACCGAGCTAATAGGGGCAGCTCAGTTGGCTGCTGGCAAAATTACTAGCGTGGACTGAGAATTGCCGGAGCCTGGGAGCAGCTTGTCTTATATCTGTCTGGCGCTGCCGTTTTGTGGTCACGAGCAAATTATTTATTTGCATTTGTACGACGTGCAAAAACAATGCTGTAATGAAATTAGATATTTATATATATAAAGCATCTGAATGCAAAATTGTGTCTAAGAGGCTTTACAGATAAGGCAGGCATAGACATCGAGTGAGTGAGATAAGGGATGCATGCAATGGAGCAATGGCGTGTCTTTGTTCATACGTATCAATGAAATACATTTACAGGCTGCTCGAGTAGCAGAATAAAATTGGTTTCCAAATCAAATAATTGTGAAGCAGCACTCTTCTCCCATTTGTGACCCTGAGCCAGTGGTGGAAATTCCCTATCCAAGAACAACCGCTATTGATTCATATGAATGCACCGAAGTAAAAATACAGAAAGAAAGAAGACCATATCAGACTACAGGAGCAGCAGAAGAGACACTCACACTCGCGTGTTTCAAAATTAAGACATTTGTGGTAGGTCTTGTCACTAGATTAAAGTTGGCATCTCTTAGATTGGATGTATTTGTTGTACGAATTATCCCGTTAAGTCAGTTTCCTGGCTATTTTACAATGCGATCCTCTTAAACAGTTAACACGAGTAGCCTGCATTGCACATTATCTGAAGGTGGGCGATCGGAGATTTAGAAAGTCCATTGGCATTGGTTACATTTAATAGGAGCTTAATTTTCTAAAACCTGCTCAGCCTTACGAGAACAATTACATTTCTAATGTTTAACGACTGCAGTCGACAGCCCTCCGCAGTTGTTTTTAGTATTGTAAACGCAGCATATTTGAGTGTTATTAACTAATCTGTTTAGTCAATTATTATATTTCATTCTGCTTGGTTTTCCACATTCCAGCCTAAATTGATCCACTTTGCAATTGAATACATTACTAAATCCACATAATGGGCACGTGTGCGCAAACGTTAGCATTACTCTATTTCAAAATGTAATTAGGATCCCTCTAAAATGTATAAAGCTTATTGTGGAAAACAGCACTGGATTGTGTTTCAAAAACACAAGTAAACCCAATAATGTACTGCACTCGCGTAAGCATGCACTAATGATGGCTTTCAGCCATTTTTTTTTCAATTCACTCAAAAAGGCCAGTCAATCAAACCATCAATGTCTTCTTTTCCCCTCAGTGACAGTAAAGAAACCACTGCACTTTATTGCAGTACATTGCAGTCACTATCCAATACAGTGCAGCATCTGGTTAGATTCAGCTTGTGTTCGAGCACTCCTTTCCAAATAGAAAGGCTGTGACTTTTTTTAAAATCCCAATCACAAGGTTTGGCTCATAACCCAAGGCTGATAAAATGTGTCAAAACATTTTTTTTACAAGTCAACAGTGATTGCCCTAAAACGACACTGTTCCCCTCGATAGGAATATGGAATTTCCACCACTGGCCTTGGGCCACCAGAGAAGATGAGTT